CAAACCGCACACACTAATAGTAGGAGACTTCAACACTCCTTTCTCACCAATGGACAGGTCAATCAGACAGAAACCTAACAGAGAAATAAGAGATTTAATGGAGGTAATGAATCAAATGGAATAAACAGACATCTATAGAACATTCCACCCAAATAGGAAAGAATATACCTTCTTCTCTGTAGCTCATGGAACCTTCTCGAAAATTGACCTCATTCATACTCAATAGCAAAGCAAACTTCAACAGTTACAAAAAAATTTAGTAACCACCTGTGTCTTATCATATCACCATGGATTAAAGTTAGAATTCAACAACAATGCTACCCCCAGAAAGCCTACAAACTCAGGGAAACTGAACAGTCAACTACTGAACCACACCTGGGTCAGAGAAGAAATAAAGAAAGAAATTAAAGTCATTCTTGAATTCAATGAAAATAAAGAAACAACATACTCGAACTTATGGGACACTATGAAAGCAGTGCTAAGAGGAAAGTTCATAGCACTAAGTATCCGCTTAAAGAAAATGGAGAAACCACACATTGGAGACTTAACAGCACACCAGAAAGCTCTAGAAAAAAAAGAAGCACACTCACCCAGGAGGAGTAGAAGACTGGAAATAATCAAACTGAGGGCTGAAATCAACAAAATAGAAACACAGAAAACAATCCAAAGAATCAATGAAACAAAAAGCTGGTTCCTGGAGAAAATCCACAAGATTGATAAACCCCTATCTAAACTAATCAAACGGCAGAGAAAGAATATGCAAATTAATAAGATCAGAAATGGAAAGGGGGACATAAGCACAGATACAGAGGAAATTCGGAGAATCATTAGATCTTACTACAAAAGCCTGTATGCCACAAAATTGAAAAATGTCAAAAAAAATAGTTATTTTTTTTGATAAGTACCATATGCCAAAGTTAAACTAGGACCAGGTGAACATTCGAAATAGACCTGTTAGTTACGAAGAATTAGAAGCTGTTATCAAAAACCTCCCTACCAAAAAAAGCCCAGGTCAGGTGGTTTTAATACAGAACTGTACCAGAACTTCCAAGAAGGTCCTATACTCCTTAATGTATTCCACAATATAGAAACAGAAGGGTCATTACCAAATTCCTTTTATGAAGCTACAGTTACTCTGATACCAAAACCACACAAAGACTCAACCAGGAAAGAGAATTACAGGCCAATCTCACTCATGAACATCGACGCAAAAATCCTCAACAAAATACTGGCAAACTGTATCCAAGAAAACATCAGAAAAATTATCCATTATGATCAAGTAGGCTTCATCCCAGAGATGCAGGGCTGGTTCAACATATGAAAATCTATCAATGTAATCCATCATATAAATAAACTAAAAGAAAAAACCTTATGATAATTTCATTAGGTGCTGAAAAAGCATTTGACAAAATTCAGTATCCCTTTATGATAAAAGTATTGGATAGATTAGGGATACAAGGGTCATACCTAAATATAATAAAAGCTATTTACAGCAAACCGACAGCTAACATCAAACTAAACGGAGAGAAACTCAAAGCCATCCCACTAAAATCAGGAACACGACAAGGATGTCCACTCTCGCCATACCTCTTCAATATAGTGCTTGAAGTTTTAGCAATAGCAATAAGACAACATAATGGGATCAAGCGGATTTGAATTGGAAAGGAAGAGGTTAAACTTTCATTATTTGCAGATGATATGATAGTGTACATAAGCGACCCCAAAAACTCCACCAAAGAACGCCTACAGCTGATACACACCTTTGGTAATGTGGCAGGATACAAGATCAACTCCAAAAAATCAGTCGCCCTCCTATACACAAAGGATATGGAAGCAGAGAGGGAAATCAGAGAAGCATCACCTTTTACAATAGCCACAAACAGCATAAAATATCTTGGGGTAACTCTAACCAAGGAAGTGAAAGATCTATTTGACAAGAACTTTAAGGCATTGAAGAAAGAAATTGAAGAAGATACCAGAAAATGGAAGGATCTCCTTTGCTCTTGGATTGGGAGGATCAACATAGTAAAAATGGCAATTCTACCAAAGGCAATTTATAGATTCAAAGCAATACCCATCAAGGTCCCATCAAAATTCTTCACAGATTTTGAGAGGACAATAATCAACTTTATGTGGAAAAACAAAAAAACCAGGATGGCCAAAACAATTTTATACAATAAAGTATCTTCTGGAGGCATTACCATCCCTGACTTCAAACTCTATTACAGAGCTACAGTAATGAAAACAGCATTGTATAGGCATAAAAACAGAGAAGTTGACCAATGGAATCATATAGAAGACCCGGATTTTAACCCACAAACCTATGAACACCTCATTTTCGATAAAGGAGCTAAAAGTATACAATGGAAGAAAGAAATCATCTTCAACAAATGGTGCTGGCACAACTGGATGTCAACCTGTAGAAGAATGAAAATAGACCCATATCTATCACCATGCACAAAACTCAAGTCCAAATGAATCAAAGACATCAATATCAATCTGAACACACTGAACCTGATAGAAGAGAAAGTGGGAAGTACCCTACAACAGATGGGCACAGGAGATCGCTTCCTAGGTATAACCCCAGCAGCACAGACATTAAGGGCAACATTGAATAAATGGGACCTACTGAAACTGAGAAGCTTCTGTAAAGCAAACGACACTGTCACTAAGACAAAAAAGCAACCCACTGACTGGGAGAAGATCTTCACCAACTCCGCAACAGACAAAGGTCTGATCTCCAAAATATATAGAGAACTCAAGAAACTAGACTTTAAAATGTTAATTAACCCAATTAAAAAATGGAGTACTGAACTGAACAGAGAATCCTCAACAGAAGAAGTTCAAATGACCAAAAGACACTTAAGATCATGCTCAACCTCCTTAGCGATCAGGGAAATGCAAATCAAAACAACTTTGAGATATCATCTTACACCTGTCAGAATGGCTAAAATCAAAAACACCAATGATAGCCTTTGCTGGAGAGGTTGTAGAGGAAGGGGTACCCTCATCCATTGCTGATGGAAATGCAAACTTGTGCAACCACTTTGGAAATCAGTGTTTCGGTTTCTCAGGAAATTTGGGATCAACCTACCCCTGGCCCCAGCAATGCCACTCTTGGGAATATACCCAAGAGATGCCCGATCATATGACAAAAGCATTTGTTCAACTATGTTCATAGCAGCATTATTTGTATAGGCAGAACCTGGAAACAACCTAGATGTCCTTCAATGGAAGAATGGATGAAGAAAGTGTGGAATATATACACATTAGAGTACTATTCAGCGGTAAAAGACAATGACTTCTCGAATTTTGCATGCAAATGGATGGAAATAGAAAACACTATTCTGAGTGAGGTAACCCAGACCCAAAAAGATGAATATGGGATGTTCTCACTCATAATTGGTTTCTAGCCATAAATAAAGTTCAGTGAGTCCATAATTGATATCCTAAAGAAGCTAAATAAGAAGGTGAACCCAAGCTATCCTCCTGGTTATGGGAAGTAGACAAGACTGCCAGGCAAAAAATTGGGATCTTGGGGGTGGGGTGGGAGGGGGGTAAGGGGAGATGGGGAGAGAAAAGTGAGAAGGAGCGGATGGGGGGAACTTGGGGAAACGGGATGATTGGGATAAAGGAAGGTTGGATAGGGGAGCAGGGAAGCACATATCTTAATTAAGGGAGCCATCTTAGGGTTGGCAAGAGACTTGAACCTAGAGGGGCTCTCAGGTGCCCAGGGCGATGTCCCCAGTTAGTCCCTGGGGCAGCTGAGGATAGGGAACCTGATATGACCCTATCCTATAGCCATACTGATGAATATCTTGCATATCACCATAGAACCTCATCTGGAGATGGATGGAGATAGAGACAGAGACCCACACTGGAGCACCGGACTGAGCTCCCAATGTCCCAATGAGGAGCAGAAGGAGGGAGAACATGAGCAAAGAAGTCAGGACCACAAGGGGTGCACCCACCCACTGAGACAGTGGGGCTGATCTATTGGGAGCTCACCAAGGCCAGCTTGACTGTGACTGAAAAAGCATGGGATAAAACTGGACTCTGAATATGGCGGACAATGAGGGCTGCTTAGTAGCCAAGGACAATGGCACTGGGTTTTGATCCTACTTCATGTTCTGGCTTTGTGGGAGCCTAGCCAGTTTGGATGTTCATCTTCCTAGACCAGGATGGAGGGGGGAGGACTTTGGACTTTCCACAGGGCAGGGAACCCTGACTGCTCTTCAGACTGGAGAGGGAGGGGGAGAAGAGTGGGAGAGAGGCAGAGGAGTGGTAGGAGGGGGAGGGAAATGGAAGGCTGGGAGTAGGCGGAAATTTTTTTTCAATAAAAAAAAAGAAAAAAGAAGAAGACTCCCAAGCTCTCTATAGGATATGAGCTGCCTGCAGCATTGGATGCATCCAGGGAAACTTTGTAACAGGAATGGTAAACAGCTTGCTTTTAGTCCCTGGAGTGATCTGTGCAGAAGCTGGTCACCCTTATGTCAGCAATTCGGAGAACACACAGTGTTGGGAGGTGGAACAAGAATTCTACTGCACATGCGCCAGAAAAGCAGCATTGCTCAATCAGCATAGTTGTTTCTGAACTCTGTCTGTGAGCAGGACCAGGCCAAGGACCCTCCCTCTAGGCTTTGACCCAGTGGCAGGCAGCCAATCCCTTGGGAACACAGTCTGCTTTTGCTTTGAGACCTACTCTAGAAATGCAAGATTATTTGAAACTTGGTGTTTTGGGTTTTTTTTTTTTTGTGAAAACTATTGGATTCCTTAGGGTCAGGATATTACTTTGTAACTATTTCTAAATTCACATTGCCTGACTCTGCCCTAGAAAAATCTTATATGGAATACAAGCAAGTGTGCCTCATAATATTTGAATACTGAATAGTGTTCTCCAAGTAAATCATTGTCAGGGATTACTGTTTCTTAATGGTGCAAGTACATGTCCTCCTGGGGGAGCAGATTTAACTCAGTCACACTTCCTCCTTTGTCAGCAGAGCTCAGATTCTCAGCGGCTGGATTGTCTCAGGCTGAGCTTCTCCCATGGCTCCTGCAGGTTTCCCAGCCTCCCTTCCTCTGTGTGTGTGTCTGCTGCTGGCCTCTGGCTTTGCCCAGGCAGGCAGGCTGCTGGTGGTGCCCATGGATGGGAGCCACTGGTTCACCATGCGGTCGGTTGTGGAGAAGCTCATCCACAATGGACATGAGGTAGTGGTAGTTGTGCCAGAGGTGAGTTGGCAACTGGGAAAATCCCTGAATATTACTGTGAAGACGTACTCAATTTCTCACACTCTGGAGGATCTAAACCAGAAGTTCAAGTATTTTTCTGATACGCAATGGAAAACTCCAAAAGAAAGTATGCTTTCTTTAATGACAGGCTCAGCCGAAGGTTTTTTGGAATTAATATTTTCAAACTGTAGGAGTTTGTTTAACGACAAGAAGTTAGTGGAGTACTTGAAGCAAAGTTCTTTTGATGCTGTGTTTCTGGATCCTTTCGATGTGTGCGGCTTGACTGTTGCCAAGTACTTGTCGCTCCCGTCCGTGGTCTTTGCAAGAGTTATATTTTGCCACCATCTTGAAGAGGGCACTCAGTGCCCCAGACCCCTCTCTTATGTTCCCAGACTTCTCTCGAAATACACAGACACCATGACTTTTACGGAGAGAGTATGGAACCACATCACCTATATGGAGGAGCGTGCATTTTGCCACCATTTTTTCAAAACTGCTACAGATATTGCCTCTGAAGTTCTCCAGAGCCCAATGACTATGGAAGACCTCTTCAGCCAAGTGTCCATTTGGTTGTTACGCACTGACTTTGTGCTGGATTTCCCTGCACCTATGATGCCCAACATAGTCTACATTGGTGGGATCAACTGCCACCAGGGAAAACCACTTCCCAAGGTATGCTATCTCTCCTTTAGCACATGAAGAGAGCCTTTGGTTAGGCCAAGAAAAGATAAATTCTTTACTGAGCTGTGATTTATCGTTTACCTCACTGCATATGAAATTTCTTCCTGGGTTAGAGATGTTTTATGCCAAGTCACTAATTAGGAAACAAATCTATATTGGTGCCCTATTGATATGGGTGTGTAAACCTGTGAAGATATCACATATACATTCAAAGCTACAATCTAAGTTTAACTATGTATGTGTGCCTTTCTCTGTGTGTGTGGCAAGGTCATGAAATTAGAAAGAAAATGGACAAGGAAAAATTTCCTTAGGAGAAACAAAACCAGTAAGTAATGATAGACATGCCTCATGAAGACAGAAAGGGGGATGTGCAGGAGTAGGAAGAGGACATATGGAGGGCAAGGCAGGGTAGTGGGAGACGAAATAAGCAGAAAAGAAAACGTCTGAAAAATGCCAGAATACCACTGAATACTCTGTATGACAACTTTAAAAAAATGCTTTAAAAGACAAAAAACATTCAATGTACATTTTACTGATTTTTGGAGATGTTTAATAAATGCATCAAGCATTGAAGCCGTCATCATTTTCTGTCGGCTGCACTCTATAGGAGCGCACACGCAGCTTTTCCGCATTTCAATATGGAGGATGCAGAGAAGGTGCATTTCTCAGAGAAAATAAAATGTAAATGAGAGAAAAGAAAGCCACCATATAAAATGGGACAATACAAGCCAACAGAAAAGTCAGAGTGCCAAGGGAAGGGGCAAGAATCAGAGACTCACTTGTTAGCACTTTTGGGAGTCCCGCAGAGGTACTACATGGGAGCCAGGTGGTGGTGGCACATGCCTTAAATCCTAGCATTCAGAAGGCAGAGGCAGGTGGATCTCTGTTGGTTCGAGGCCAGTCAGGCCTAACAGAACTAGTTCCAGGACATCTAGGACTGTTACACAGAGAAACCCTGTCCCGAGAAACCAAAATAAATAAATAAATAAGATAAAAAATTTAAAAGAAATAAATATACAAATGACTAGACAGGAAGCTCTGGTGTCTCTTCAGCCTGGTAGAGGTCCATGCAGGTTCTGTGCAGACTACTTCAGCCTCGTCAGTTCATACGACCTTTGCTGAGTGATTTAGCAGGCCTTGTTCTTTGGGGGGCCTCCATTCCTTCTTTCTCCCCGACTCCTTCTGCCTCTCTTCCATGAGGTTCCCTGAGCTCTGACTGGAGGGATTGGATGGAGACATCTCACTGAGAGCTGTGTGTTCCAAGGTCTCTCTATGTAGTGTCGTGCTGTGGGTCTCTGTTTTCGCTCACATCTGTTACATGGGGAATCTTCTCTGATGATGGCTGACTAAGCTACTGACCCATGAGTACAGCAGAATGTCATTATGAGTCATTTCATTGTTACTCCCCCAAACTAAGAACAGGAATACTTGGTTTTACCCTAACTGTCTGGACTTCTGAACACCTAAGCAGTGTGAGGTATGGGTTCCATCTCATGGACATGAGAAGTGAATTTTATGCTCTGGTAATGCTGAAGCAGCCCATACCTGGAGGTTCTGTTGAACTTGTCTGTTTTCACATTAACTGTCAAAAGAACCGTGTGTTTGGAACGCTTCTCAGAGAACAGAGCTGTGTGTTATAAAGCTTGCCCTTGACTGGGGCACTGGATTTGGGCACCAGCAGCTTAAGTCTGATATGCAATTATTCTTTAACCCTTATAACTCCTGGCAAGAGACACTGCCTTTATGGTCCTGGCTAAATAGAAATTCTTATAGGAAGTTAGTTCCCGCGGCTTTCTGCCTCTTCTAATAGGGCAAGGTGTCAGCCCTCTGTCTGAGCAAGAGATAGTCTTAATGGGAGAAAACAAAGGCGTAAGGGAGGGCAAACTAGACTGTGCCTTTCCTGGCAGGATTGCACATGTCTTGAAGGAGCAAAGATTCTGGAATGTAGGTGAGCTACGCGCTATCAGGAGGTAGAAGGATGCCCGTCCCCAGGAAAGAAAGGTCTGGGGAAGAAAGAAGAAAACTGTGATGTGGTCCTAGAAAAGAACAGCCTCAGAGCAACCAACTCCTGGATGCTCTGGGTCAAAATCCAGGACAGTGGCAGAAGAACCAGGTCTTTAGATTGTCCCAGGAAGTGAGACCAACGTAACAATGCTCTGACATCCAGTGGACTGCAGGAGCCTGGCCTTCAGAGGGCTGGAAGAGGGCTGTGCCCCTGGGAAGACTGCACAGAGTATGGGATCCTGATACGTTCAGGAGAGAGCTTAGTAGAAGCCTCTCTGTGTCTACATGTAGGGAGGGTCAGGACATGGTTTGCCCAGGAATATTTGGGTTTTAGAAATAAAAACACCATGTTCCATGCAGTCCCTCAGCTGTGTGTAACTTGTTACATCGTGTCATGTTCATGGGTGCACGGTCATGTGCATGTGCACTCCTGTATGTGCCTCTCTTGCTCTGATGGGAAGTCAGCACCTTATCTGGATTCTGCATCTCCAGGGAACCCCACAGATAACCCTGTAAGCAAGAAATCCTCCTGAATTGACAGGAGACAAGGAGACAGAGTTGCCGTGATGTTTTTTGTCTATTACATACATACCTTTACTGATTCTCATGAGAGGGAAGTATCTATCTTGTAATCTAATATGTGCAGTTCCCACGGGATGTGAGAACAAAGAGATGAACTGGAAATTTCTCCTCTCGCTCTAGGAATTTGAAGCCTATGTCAACGCTTCTGGAGAGCATGGCATCGTGATTTTCTCTCTGGGATCCATGGTCTCGGAGATTCCGGAGAAGAAAGCTATGGAAATCGCCGAGGCTTTGGGCAGAATTCCTCAGACAGTAAGATGGTTCTACAAGACTTTTTCATGTCTGCTTTTAGTCTCTAACTCTAGACCTCAGTGTCTAAATGCAGAAATCTGAGTTGTGGAACTCCTCTGCCATTCCACAAAGTTATTATTATTATTATTACCATATATTATTATTATTTCAATTTATTCAGGTATTCCTATGACATGGTCTGCTCACTCAGATTTCTCTTTTCTCTAGGAAACTCCCAAGTATTAGAGAGAATGTTGTTAAAAAAAATAAGCATGATACTGTTTTTTTACATCAATGAAGAATGTTTCTCCGAAAAGCTATTTTGTTTTGTTTGTTCCTGCTTGGATAGCTTTTGCATCCACTTGCCTTGTGAAGAAAGTTTCCCTTTGAAGTGCAGAAACATGAAGGAATACTGAGGGTGGCTTGATGGCTTCTCACACTCGTGTTGCCAAGCTTTAGCATCAAGAGCCAATGCTGCTCTTGAGCCCTGGGGACTTCCAATTCACCAAACCTCCCATCATGCAAAGCCTATCCGGCTTCTTCTTACTCATAGGACTGGCCTTTCTAGTTAGGCTAGCTGATCTTAAAAAATCAAGTTGTGTTCTTTTTTTAAGCATGTGCTTTTTGTCCCTACTAGGTCCTGTGGCGCTACACCGGACCTAGACCATTGAACCTTGCGAAGAACACAATACTTGTAAAATGGCTACCCCAAAATGATTTGCTTGGTAGGTTGGGAGCATCTGCCATGTAGGTCAAACCAGGGTTACATTAAGGAAATGACAGGCTTTAATGTTCTAAATGATTGCTTAGCTTGATGGTGACTGAGACACATCACATACATCACCCCACCCCACCCACTCCCAGAGTTTTTACAATGGCCACGCGTAGATGATGGTCCTTATGGGCTTTTCAGAATTTAGACATTGTCAGGCTGAAGAACCTGGTGTCCCTCTCTGTTGTACTCCTCAGGTCATCCAAAGACTCGTGCGTTCATCACACACTCTGGTTCCAATGGTATTTATGAAGGGATATGCAATGGTGTGCCGTTGGTGATGATGCCCTTGTTTGGCGACCAGCTTGACAATGCCAATAACATGGAAACTCGAGGGGCTGGGGTCTCCCTGAATATTATCAAAATGACTGCTGATGATTTGGAAAATGCTCTAAAAGCAGTCATCAATGACAAGAGGTAAGTAAGAGGAGAAGAAAAACAAACAACATACTTGTGTTTGTGTCTACAGCATTTGCAATCAACAAAATAGCACAACAACAAGTACATAAAAAATCTAGATTCATACACAAGATAAAGTGGGCATTATTCCTACTTGTAAAAGGAATTTATATTTTATCTTAGAATTTGTTAAATTTTTTAGTCTCCCTAGATTTACAGTCTTCAATTAAAAATAATGTCACCATAATAGGCATCTCATCTCTAAGATCCTGTAAAGAGAAAAATATTCCATTAAAAGTCACATAGGGGTGGAGCTGGAAGCTCACTACATAGACAAGGGCACTAGCTGTGCAAGCCTGAGGAATGAGTTCAAATCCCAGCACTTATGTGAAAAGCCAGGCCTCAGCATCGTGGAAGCAGGAGACAGGAGAACTCTTGGGCTTGCTGGCCACTAGTCTAGCTCCAGATCCAATGAGAGACTTTGCCTCAAAGAAATTAAGTGGACAGTGACAGAACAAAACATTGTCTTATGGCTTATGAGTGACTGTATAAACATGTGTGCCCATGCGTCCACACACATACACACACATGCATACACACATACACCGCATACACGTGCACACTGTGAGATCACTTTGTCTCTACTTGAACCTTAGTGTATTGCTTTCAAGGTTGCTGGTACTATTGTATTTAAAACCTATGGGAAGACCAACATGGTGACAAACACTTGTAATCTAAGCACTTGGAGACAGAGACAGGAGGATTGTGATGAGTTCAAGAAGAGTTTAAGGCTATATAGCCAGTTCCAAGCTGGCTGAGGCTGTTTAGCAAGATTCTGTCTTAAGACAAAACCAACCAAGCAAACAATAGCAAAAACCCCAAGCAATAACAGAATACCCAGAATTTCACCATCTATGAAGGGTTAAAGTTTATTTAGCTCAGAGTCTGAGAAGTTGTGGGGAGTCTAGAGCGGGGCAGATGCATCTGGTAAGGGTCTCCTGCTACCTACCGTGTATCCTCCATGGTAGACACCTGAAGTGGCCAAGGGTGTGTACATGACAGAGACTAAACATAAGTGGCACCCTTGCTTGATCATAGCCCGCTCTCACGGTGACAGAGTCCAGCTCTGGAGCAAAGGCCATTCTCTCTCTCAATGACATTTCACTTCCTCGAGGTTCTACCACCTCTCTGTACCTTTGCACTGGGGACCAAAGTTCCTACACACGAGCCTGTGGGCAGCACATTCAAACCACACTACTCCTTTATCTGCAACTGATTCCTTTGTTGTTGTTGTTCTTCATTTGACCATAATGATGATATAATATAATTTCCTACAAAGAAATCACTAAAAGACAAAAAAATTGTAAACAAAGTTTAAATATTTGTAAAATAACATTTTTTAGTTTTTGCTTTCTTTCCTCCTTACCTCCTCCTCTCCTTCCTCCCCTTCTGCCTGCATTTCACCATCTATCCCTCCTCCTCCTTGTTAGAGATAAAGAATATCAATTAAGTGTGTGTTCGGGGTGTCCTCTTCTGGTTATAACAGGGTGTTCCAAGACTAACAACTGCTTTGTGTTCAGTTACAAGGAGAACATCATGCACCTCTCCAGACTCCACAAGGACCGTCCCATAGAGCCTCTGGACCTGGCTGTGTTCTGGGTGGAGTACGTGATGAGGCACAAGGGGGCGCCACACCTGCGTCCGGCTGCCCATGACCTCACCTGGTACCAGTACCACTCCTTGGATGTGATTGGCTTCCTCCTGGCCATAGTGTTGACCGTCGTCTTCATTGTCTTTAAATGTTGTTCGTATGGCTTCCGGAAATGCTTTGGTAAAAAGCAGGGAGTTAAGAAGTCACACAAATCCAAGACCCATTGAGAAGTGGGTGGGAAGTGAAGGGGAGGTATCAGTCCATTCTTCAATCAGTTTGACACTTGAAAACAGAATAGCCTGGTCTACAGAGTGAGTTCTACGACAACCAGGGCTACACCAAAAAAACACATGTATGCACCACCACCACCTGGCTAAAACACTTTGCCAAATAAATGGTTGCTTTACTTACAAAATATAAAAGCACACACACACACACACACACACACACACACACACATCTAATTGCTGACCACACCCATCAGGGAAGCTATGGACAACACTTGCCATCTGTTTCAGAAAGAATGGCACTCTGTAGTCATTGACAGCCCCACAGTTGCCCCATTGTCCTGTCATGTCATCACTGCCCCCACACACACTTCAGCTGATAGATTCCTCACCTGGATCCTCGGACTCTGTGGCCTCCTCCAGTGCTCGTCATTCCTTGTTGTGCTCATGTATTGTGGGCGACATGGCCTTTGCAGCTCTGGGGAGGGGGACGGTGCTGTGTCAGAGATGATAATCATTGCTTGTGTGAAGCAGATCTGGAGCTGATGAGAGCAAAAGTTTATTCTTAGGCAAGTCCAACTTCTGTAGTGTTTCCCAAACTGAGAACTTACTAATAAATTCAGACAAATTGTGTTTATTATTTCTCCACTGGTGTTATACTTATTGTCAAACATCCTCTAATTGTAAAAGTGCTACGTGATAGTGACACCAAACTTGAAAACCAAAGAGATTCACACATGTGTACGTGCACACAAGCGAAGAACCACCTGTAGTTGCAGTGCTCTTTAATACAGTCACAGTTCCGCAGTTAGTGCAGACAAACCACTGTTGCTATGTTGGGTAGTTTTTGTATTGCATTCTGATGTTCCAAGACTGACAATAAAGTTTGTTTTGAATCAGAGGACAGAGCTAGCTACTAACTGACCAAAATTAACCATAGAGGTTCTGGAGGACAGACAGACATAGGGCAGGGCTAAGAGAGGCTCTGTCTCAGCCCCTTTCAGGTGGAGGAATGGAGGAGATGGGAGGTAACTGGTCACTTCTCCGCTGCTTCTCTGATCATTCAGGTTCTTACCCTGATATCTGGCTCCTGAGTTTTTAATTGATAAAGAATAATTAGATAAACACATAATTGCTGCCCTAGTTTTGATTCTGAATCTTCCAAAGATGTATTTGCTGATGGCTAAGTCCTAGGCCTATGGCACCGCTGAGAAGTTGTGGAGCCGTTAAGAGAATGATCCTGAGGGAGAAAGTTAGGTTTCTGGGGGTGTTCCTTTGAAGGGGATGTTGGCATGCAGGCCCTTTGCTCTCTCTTTGTTCTCTCCCTATCATGGAACAAGAAGCTTCTGGAAGCTTCCTTGGGTGTTCTCCTGTCCTGCACAGGTTCCAAAGCAACGTGGTCACATGACCAGGGATGGAAACGTCTATAGCTAGCTCCAAATAAGCCTTTTCTCATGAGCTGCTACATCCTAGGTATTTGTTACAGTAATAGAAAGCTCATTAACATGGGTATTGTTTTGACAGATACACACAAAAGATTTCACGTACACTAGATATTCTGCATTGGTCAGTTTTGCAATGGTATAATGAAACACCCAGGTCAAGTAATTTATTAAGAGAAGAGGTTATTTAACTTACAGTCTTAGAGGTTCATAAGTTATCCTTCATTGGTTTGGTTTAGTGAGGGTAGCAGAAGGTGTCATGTCATAGCAGGAGCATATACATGAATAAACCAGGAATTATATTTGGTGTCTGAATTTCTGTCCTGCCCAGTTCCCACAGTAATTAAGTCCCAAAGAAATCACACAAAGGTCTACATTAGTTATAAACTGATTGGCCCTTTAGCTAAGGAGGCTTCTTATTAACTCTTATATCTTACATTAGCCTGTTATTCTTCTCTGTGTTAGCCACATGGCTCAATACCTTTTTCAGCGAGTCAGTCACATCTTGCTTCTTCTGCAGGGATTACAACTGCAGAGGAATGGGCTTCCTCCTTCCCAGAATTCTCCTGTTCTCATTGACCCTCCTCTACTTCCTGTCTGGTTGTCCTGCCTATACTTCCTGCCTGGCTACTGGCCAATCAGCGTTTATTTAAAATATAATTGACAGAATACAGACCATTCTCCCACACCATATATTTTGAACCAGGAACAGAGGTGGAGTCTGGGATATCACAGTTCTCTTTGAGAAAAAACCCTCAATGACTTAAGGACTTCCTTCTAGGGTCTACCTGCAAAAGGTTCCCCTGCTTCTCAATAGCAGGTTTTTTACAGGCATTCAAGATTCAAGTTATATATTCTGACTATGGTTCCAAGTTCATGTCTACTTCACAATTAAAAAAATGGATTAATGTGGGGCCTTAATCTTGAGAGGCAGAAGCAAAGGCAGGCAGATCTCTGAGTTCAAGTTTATCTTGTATCACAGAGCAAGTTCCAAGACAGTTAGGGCAGAGAAACCTTGTCTGGAAAAAAAATGATAATAGATTAGTTCCTTGTCTAAAGACAGTCTCAAAGGTAACTATTCTAGCACATGTTGGAAATCCAAGTCTTGTAACAGTCAGTTGTGAGACTCTGTAAAAGAGACAACAGTAACAACAACAACAAAATCCAGAAACTAAAACAAAATCAAAAACAAACCACATACAGTGGAGGCCAGGCTTCAAGTAAACATTCCTTATTCTGAAAAGGAGTCATGAAGAATTAAAAAAAAAAATCTTCTCCCAAACAAGAAAAAGGGAAACATCAATCAAACACCAAAGATCTTTTTTATTAGGGGCACAGGGGCACACTGTGGTGGGATGTGGGACACCAAAGATCATGGTCGTTCCCATTTTTATGGTTTCAGAAGTTGTCTCCCACATATCGACTCTCTCAAACTGTTTTTCACACTTGCTGGATCTTTTCCCTTATCGTGTGGTGTAATAGGAGGTCACTTGTTGGTTCCCAGCTGCTCGTCTAGCTTAGACCTGAAATAATCACACAGAAACTGTATTAATTAAATCACTGCGTGGCTCATTAGCTCTAGCTTCTTACTGGCTAACTTATATTAATTTAACCCCTTTCTACTAATCTGTATATCACCATGTGGTTGTGGCTTACTGGGTAAAGTTCCCAGTGTCTGTCTCTGGCAGCTCCAGTGGCTTCTCTCTGATTCCTCCCTTCTTTCTCCCAGCATTCGGTTCACTCCACCTTGCCCTGTTATAGATCCAAAGCAGTTTCTTTGTTCATTAATGGTAATCACAGCATACAGAGAGAAATCCCACATTACCTCCCCTTTTCTGTTTAAATAAAAAGGAAGGTTTAGCTTTAGCATAGTAAAATTACATATAACAAAACAGTTATCAAGCAAGAATTACAGTTACAATATTTATATCTACTTTATCGTTTATCATAACTAAGGAAAACTATAATAATAACTATCTAGTCTTTAACTCCATCAAAGACTCCAGAAGGATATAAAATATTACCTAAGTAAACAGGAAGTGCATTGTAAGCAACTTTCAAAACTGTAGAATTGACAGAGACATCTTGCTGCCTGGACAGTCACCCAAAGTTCTTCTTTACCATTTGAGCATCCATCTTCAGCCTACAGGCCCATAGTATCCAGCAGAATTTTCCATGATGAAAGAAATTTTAGTCATTTTCTTCTGTATCCTGCAGAATGTCTATCAGACTCTTTCATGAAGCAGGAACCCTGAAGGATTGTCTAGCAATCCCCCTTTAAATTTAAACAAACATTTATAGACAATATTTGGGAATATGGGCATAGTTCTGTCCAAACTTCTTTCTACTGTTTGTTGGACAACATAATTTTTGAAGGGTATTCAAGGAGACCTTTTAGGGGCTCTTGGTCAATCAAGCCATATTAGTTTGGAATGATTCCACAGGTTCTCATCCTCTGTGGAAACAAGAGAAGAACCTATTTTCCAAAGCAACATATCCTTAGACCCAAATTCTGAAGTCAAGATACCTTTATAATATACATGCTGGTTTAGCTTAGCAGCCCATACAATGAAATGTCTCTCTGTACTAAGCTCTTTCACAGTCAAAAAAATTAAAGAAACCACAATAATATAAATAATCCAGACTCTCTGTGAATTATCCATTTTATGTGGCTTATTTTTCTTTACTTCTTTTAATCTATGACTGTCTGTACTCTGTCTCTTTAAAGACTTTACCCTTTTTAACCATTTACTTCTTTTTATAATTCTCTATACTCTTTCTTCTCTCTCCCAAGCCTATGTACATTTATTCAACACTGTGACCCATTTAGAGGTCTTTTATGTCTGAATCTGTCCTAGTGTTTATCTGTAATTCTATACTGTCCAGGAGCACTTCCTAAAATGCTAAGTGCTTCTTAAAAACTTAAACTGTGCCATTACTAGGGTATATACAATACTTACTGCTTGCACCGCCCAGCCCAGCATGGTGGATCTGCTTGCACATTTGAGCCATACACCACCCCACTTCCAAACACACAGCCAGTCCACATAGCCACCAAGCAAGCCGCATGTTGCTCACAAACCCCATCCAAATGCTCGGTTTCTTTAAAGAACCAAAATTTGTGCTAGCAGCATGGCCCATGGCTGGGAAGCTGCCATTTGAAACTGCATGGCTGCTACTGCTGAATCAGTAAGACCTCTCTTAAAGAAGCCATGCCTCTGCTTGCTTCTAGCAAATAAAGCCCACCCAAGAAAATGCCGCTACCAAACCATACTTAACTCTGTTTTTTTGTGTGTGTTTAGGATTACTTTTTAAGCTTTCTTAGGTTTTCATGTGGATGTAGTTACCCACATTGGTGCACCAATCTGTAGTAAGGAGGTTGCTTGTTGGTTTCCAGCTGCCCAGATAGCTTAGACCCTAAATAATCAAACAGAAACTTTATTAATTAAACCACTGCTTGGCCAATTAGCTCTAGCTTCTTATTGGCTGACTCATATTAATTTAACCAATTTCTATTAATCTGTATATCATCACATATATGTGGCTGTGGCTTACCAGGTAAAGTTCCCAGGGTCTGTCTCCAGCAGCTCCATGGCCTCTCTCTGACTCCGCCCTTCTTTCCCCCAGCATTCAGTCCAGTACTTCCTGTCTAGCTCTGCTCTGCCCCGCCCTGCTATAGGTCCAAAGAAGTTTCTTTATTCATTAATGATAATCACAGCATACAGAGGGAAATCCCACATCAGTGTGGCAGGCTGCTGAAATCTCTTCCTTCCTTGGACCCTTTTGACAACTCCCTCAGCTCCACTACTTTTCATGCCATTAGGTGTTCAAATCTGGTTGGACTGCTCTGCCTGGTTTCCCTCCATGACCCCTTTCTGTGTGACTATAAAACTAGTATCCTATGAATGACATTTGGGTCTCTTGCCAGAAAGTACCAAATGAAGGCTAGCTGGATGCAGAGAAATGAATCCTAAGTGACCATGGGAACATAAAAGTTCCTAGGATCTCTCTCCCGAAAAGACTCTGTCCTGGAAAATCTTTGGAACAGATTGAGATTTCTATGTCTCTGAGCCCATGAGAGTGGAAGCCTTGAAGATGTCACAAACACCCTTAAGGCTGAGGCATTGTTCCTATTTTTCTGATTCAAAGCACTTATTCCCACTTTATTGGCAT